CACGCCTTCTTCCACCACCTTCTGCACCCATCCACCATAGCCAAGCACCTTCGCACCTTCTTCCACCTCCACCTCCTTCACCCATCCACCATAGCCAAGTACCTCCACACCTTCCAACTCCACCTCCTTCACCCATCCTCCATAGCCAAGCACCTTCACACCTTCATCCACTCCACCTCCTTCACCTATCCACCATAGTCAAGTACCTCCACATGTTCTTCCACCTCCACCTCCACCCATCCGTCATAGCCATGCACCTTTACACCTTCCACCTCCACCTCCTTCACCCATCCACCATAGCTTCGCACCTTCGCACCTTCGCACCTTCTTCAACCTCCACCTCCTTCACCCATCTATGCCAAGCACCTTCATGCCTTCTTCCACCTCCACCTCCTCCACCCATCCACCATAGCCAAGCACCTTCGCACCTTCTTCCTCCCCCTCCGTTACCACCCAATGCCGCGGTCCATGGCATATAGGGCAGCAAGTCATTGAAGGAGCCATAGGTAGGACGGTAGGACGAGTAGGGGGTAATTGGATTCGGCTTATGGTCTCTCTCTCTCTCTCTCTCTCTCTCTCTCTCTCTCTCTCCTTCTCTCTTCCTCTCTCTTTCTCTCTCTTTCTCTTCCTCCTTCTTAACCTCCAAAGACTATCTCTTCCTTCTCTTCCAAATCCCAAGGCCAACCCCCACCCTCTCTCCTCTTTCCCCTTGGCATGCAACTAGCCCGACCCTCACTCACTTCTTACATTGCCAGGGTACGAACGGAAAAAAAACTTTGAATCTCACTTGGTGGAAGAAGAGGGCAAGGGGAGGGCTGCCGGCTCCTTGTGCCACCAAGAAGATAAGGAGGAGGAGAGCAGCTTGACATGCTTGACGTTTGACAAAGTCCTAGAAGTGCTAGAAAGAGGTGCGAAGTAAAAGAGAGGTAAGTTGACTCAACCAGAACCCCGACTGCATGACTAAGAGAAGAGGATGGCTTGGATGAAGGAAACAAAATGAGAAAGGAAAGTACCCAAGGACATGGAAATTAGGCATGTGGGAGGGACTATGTGTTGACCCCAAATGGGGGTTGTGTCTGTATGCTTTGTGTTGAGTGTGCAGGTGAGTAGCCTTGGGATGTCTTGAGCCGGATTGAGCCCGGGTATGTCACGCGACGAAGGGAAAAGGAAGGACAAAGGCTAAGCGGTCGTGGACGTAAACTATGTCTATGATTGGGACCTTTGCGCATGCAACCTTGAGTATGGATGAAAAGGAAGAAGGGATGTTGCGTATTGCTTGAAGTGTTGCTTAGTGTCGGGCGATCGTAACGACCGCCAAGTCCTTTGAGTATGCAGGTGGGGACCCCGAAAAGACTAAGGGGTACTTAGGGAAGCAATGAACTTGATGCATGATGTATGGAGATAACGAGTGCTAGTGCGTAGGCTGGCTAAGAGGGATAACGACGTTCCCGCGCCTCCATAAAGCCCTAGGACCATTGCATTGCACGACCTAAGGATGACGCTTAGCCTGCGCATAATGGAAGATAAGTTTCTAAGAACCCCCTGAACTGCCTGGGTATTGGAAGGAGCAATTGCATGAGAACACAACAAAGTATTGAGAAAAAGGACGCCTGCGAGTGAATAGCAAAACTGCCCCACTAGTGAGAAAGTTGAGCTACATCCCCAATGTCAAAGCTCCCTCGCTCAATGGCCCACTCCCATCCATGTCAAAGCACTAGGCGGGGGTGACCCTGTGACGAATGGCTCCTCGCCCTGAGCATGAGTGTGGGCGGAGCCGAGCCAACTGGGACCCGCAGAAAGGTCGACTTAGGCTCGAAAATCTCACAGGGTGAGGCCCTACAACGGTCAACTTCCTAATGTCCGTCCATGGAGGGCGGATCTTGTGATCGTCTGCCTGGAAACTTGTCAGCCGAAGGTGGTGTGTAAACAACCAACTTCGATGCATGAAAGACCAGGTGCACGGTGAGGTGTGGTGAGATGTTGATCACAAAAGAGGGGCCCGCAGGGTCATTGCCAGTTGCATAAGTTATCTTCCATGATCCGAACCATTTGGGGAGGAGTTTGCAAGAGACATGTTGCTCAAGCGCGAATTCCTCAGCAAGGACCCAGACAAGGTCACCCTCACGGAAAGGACATGGGAGACAACGTCGGTTAGCTTGTTGTTGCATGCGAATCTGAGCTTTTTGCATATTTGCTCGGGCTTTGATCTCCAAGTCCCTGTACTTCCGAACGGAAGCGGGAGAGCAAGTGACGTCTATGTCGGCGGCCCGAGGGAGAAGAAGATCAGCGAAGATACGACCCTTCCGTCCACCGTGATGCAACTCATACGGAGTCACACAGATCGTCGGGTGAACTGAAGTGTTGTAGGCGAACTCGATATCTGGAAGGCGGTCAACCCAATCTTGCTGGTCCGGACGGATAAGAGTACGGAGCATCATCTGGGCGGTTTGATTAGCTCGCTCCGTCTGTCCATCTGTTTGTGGGTGTCGAGCGGAACTTGGCTTCCCTGTCGTGTCGGGCTCAACCATGAGGGATGTGCAAAACGTCGATATGAAACGGGTATTGCGGTCACTCACGATGTCTTCCGGAACATCATGGCTGCAAATCCAGCCGGTCTGCAAGAGTCATGCGAGCTCGGGTGCTGCAACATGATACTTGCAAGGAAGAAATCGTGCATACTTGCTCAAACGGTCAACGACCATGAAGATGTCGTCATGACCAAGGCGATCGCGAGGAAACGGGTCTGTAACATCCATAGCAATGGATAGGCACGGTTCTTTGTACGGGTGAAGAACAAGGCGATCGCGGGGAAATCGGCGTGACCAAGGCGATCGCAGGGAAATCGGCAATGGTTTGAGTTCGCCATAAGGAAGCTGATTACGTTGGCAAACTGCAAATGACTGCACATATTTATTGACATCGTGAAGAACATCTTCCCAATGAAAACGTTGGCGAAGACGTGCCAAAGTACGAGTGACGCCAAGGCGATCCGAGAGTCATGAGTCGTGGAAGTCGCCAAGAAGGCGAGTACGCAAGATACGATCGCTTAGCACACATAACAAGTCCTTCCCTCGCATGTGGATAAGCAAGTACCCGTCGGTGATGCGATAGTGACCTGTCGGTGGGTAATTTGATGAAAGATCTGCATAAAGTGTCGAGTATTTCTGGTCGGACTTGTAACCATTGACGAAGTGCTGCTGCAAATCGTCGTCGAGCTGAAACGTAGAAGGCACCAAGGCACACAAATCGTGTGGTCGTGATAGTGCATCTGCTGCTCGATTGGTGGGGCCTGAAATATGGACGGGGTGAAAGTCGAATTGGTCAATGAAGTACATCCATCGGCTGATCGTGCTTGTGACTGTGTCCTACTTTTTATAGTAGGTCAACGAATTATTGTCCGTATTCCATGTGAAACGCCGACGCTCGAGAAGAAAGTGTCGCCATCGTTTGAGCACAGTGACGAAAACCAGTAACTCTTTCTTCGTAACGTCATCCATAGAATGGACGAGAGTTTGGGAGAAGTACTCACTTGGGTGCCAATCACCGTCGTCATGTTGTTCCAATATCGCACTAATGCCGTATCCGGAAGCGTCCATAGTCACTCGGGTACGTAACGCAGGATCATAAATGCGGAGGGTGGGAGTGCGAAGCATCGCATCCTTCCACGCCTGGAATGCAGTTTGGATTGCGTCGTCGAACTCGAAGGGCACCTTCGGAGATTGAAGCCTCGACAATAGTGCAACAACTTTGGAGTAAGAGTCGACAAAACGCTGGTAAAATCCAGCTAGACGCATGAACGAGTGTACGTCCGTAGTGGTAAGGGGTTCTGACCAGTACACGATGGCTTGGATCTTGTCTGCTAAGGGACGAATGCCTTGCGGTGTAACATAATGGCCCAAGTACTCGAGCTCTTGCTGTGCGAATTTGCACTTGTCGCGATTTGCTTTGTATTTGGCCGTGCGAAGCCTTTCTAGAACAGCGCGATGGTCTTCGAGATGCTCGTTGAGGCATCTAGGTAAAAGAGTACGTTGCAGCCGAGCAGATCCCGAAACTCGGTCGTCCTAATTGCTTGGAAGGTCGCTGGGGCATTGGTGAGGTCGAATGGCATCGCGACCCACTCAAAATGCCTATATCGCGTTTTGAAGACGGTCTTGTACCGATCTTGAGGCCGAATTTCAATCTAGTGGTAGCCGGACTTCAAGTCCAACTTCGAGAAGTAGGTGGCACCGCCCAATGTCTCAAGGACATAATCAATCCGAGGGAGAGGGCCGGCGTTCTTCACAGTTTGCGCGTTCAGTTTTCGATAGTCTATGCACAACCGGACGTCCTTGTTCTTCTTTCGGACGAAGAGAACTGGAGCACTGTAGGGCGAACAACTCAAGCGAATCCATCCCTTGTTCAAGAGGTCATCGAGTTGTGCTCGAAGCACCTCGAGTTCCTCGTCGCTCATCCGGTAAACACATCCGCGCGGAGGGACGACATCGTCCTTGAAAGTAATCCTGTGACGTATGGGCCGATCCGGAACCGTTCCGGGGGGAGCTGCGAAGACGTCTCCATAATGGCCTAAGAGTTGAATGATACGTGGGTCCGGCGGCCATGTCTTCAGTTCGTCCGTTCGAGGGAGTGCATGCAAGAAGCATATTCCCATCTTATCGACGTCGTTCGGAGTAATGGCATCACGAATCCTTGTTGCGGAGACCACGTGGCAACCAATTGAAGAGTGAAAGGGCAGGACCGTACACGGGACTAGCTCACCATTTCGATCACGTACGTGAACAGTGTGGTGATGGAAGTTCACCGGGTGGTCGGCGCTACGCAACCAAGACATGCGTAGAATCATGTCGAACTGGTGTCGAGGGTTGCATCCCTGCCGACCGCCGACCCCGACCGCTGACTGTATTGTAGCCGACCAGTTGGGCCGACCGGTCGGCGGTCTGCCGACCAGTAAAAAAAAAAAA